CTGAGACCAGCTCGAACTCATCCGGGCCACCCACCTTCATCACAACCGTGCCCTCCTCCTTCGCATGCATCACTTTGATGCTGGCAGGACCCGATTCGCTGGCAGCCACATTTGCAGCCAAATTGCCATGTGAATCATTGGTCCTGCAGGGTATCAGCATTCAGGTGAATGTATGTAGGTCTACGGAAGAAAGGAAACATGTATGTAGCTCTACTGTTTGAAGCTGGTGTCCACCTGTGTCCACAAAAACTAAAACTTGAAGGTTGCATGTGGGACTGGCCTCATGACCTTCTGAACTTGGTGTTGCCCAAAAAGCTGCTGCTGGCCAAAGTTCACCAGCACACGTGGGGTAGCAGCGGGCATAGAAGGTTGAAGTCCAGGCATCTGACCGGCAAACTGAACAAGCTGAGCAAGCTGAGCAAGCTGAGGCAGCCAATGTTCACCCATCCATCCGCTGCCAAGAGGACCAGCAGGAGCACCAACACCAGGAACGCCAACGCCAGGCTGGAAAAAAGGCGGAGGCTGAGGATGAACTGGCTGAGATGTAGCTTGCATGGCAACAAGGCGTCAATGTTGAAATCAAGAAGTTGTCAACATGTTGAATGTAATTGTTCACAAAGGGTATTCCTGGAAGGTGGGCGCTTGGAACTTGGAATGTAGAATGTAGATATTCAAAAGTGGATTCCCTATGCCTTTCATGGTTGCCACTGTGCTGCGTGGTACGGCGATCGCAATGAGATCACTATCAAAGACCCTGTCCAAATACATACATATATATATGTTTACCTGTATATTTTTCAAGTATGCCGGCTGTATTTGTAGTGCACAAGAAACCAGAATCATTTTGTTTCAACAATCACAGCTGCTAGACCATGCTAGACAAGTCAAAGTTCAACGACTGTTCCCGAATGGCTGAGGCTTGGACAGGGCTGCGGGAGGGAAAAGATGTAATGTAAACCATTGAAATCACCTTGGCACACCACAGCAGAGCACCATACACATGATTGTGATTGACACTGTAATGTTCTGTGAATGTTCTTGAAGGTCCATGGCAGGAAATCTGCATTTCATTGACTCTGGAAAATATAGAAAACAGAAAACTGACTTTGATTCCCCAAACTGCTTGTGATTCCCCAAACTGATTGTGATTCCCCAAACTGATTGTGATTTTGAAAACTTATTGTGATTCTGAAAACTGCTTGTGAGGCTAAGAACGGATTGTGATTTTGATCTTGGCTCCATGAAGTGGACCTGTGCAAAAACAAGAGCACAGTGTTTAATGCTGCTACTGAGCGCTTTACCAAGCAGAGGTCCAACAGCTCCGGAATCCATCAAACATAGCAAACAAGAACAGTTGCATTGACTGAAATATTGACAATCCGCTGGCCTGTGGAGTTCACTGCCAATTGATGACCATGCTTTGCCAGTCCTGGACACACAGAGACAGAAGAACCAAACAAACTGATAAACACACACACACAGAAGTTACAGAAGTGTAAACACATTCCAAAGTCTCCCAGCCAGTGTAAAAAAAGCAAATGCACCACGCCACAACAATTGTTTTTGCGCAATGCCGGATCAAATCTCAAGGGTTGACATTGTCCCAATTTGGCCTCAGGTAGCAAAGTAGCAAACTCTTGAACGCTCTTGCAAAAACAAAGAAAAATCATAAGTGTCCTTCAAGTGGCAAGGAAACAAGTTTGACAATGAACACAACATAATTGCTGTCAAACTGCTCATCCAAAATTTCAAGGTGGTCCTTGGAAAACCGTGCCACGTCGGGCTGCAATTGCAGCAGCACGCTCCTCGCTGTTCATCCACGCTGCATTGGCTGCCTTCAGGTTCGCATTTGGAGTGCCCTTGTGGGTCTTCATGAAATCGCCAATGAACCGTGCCTTAGAAACCCAGGAAATCACCAAAAGTTCAGCCCATTAAGAAAGTATGTTGTGGTTTCACCATTGCTGCTGAAGTGCCCTGGTATCATTCAAGGTAAGCTTTTGGGTGCTGATGCCATCTTCATATCCATCTACGCGTACACCTGCAGCATTCTGTTCACCACCTTCTTCAAGATTTTGTGGTTGGGCAGGTTCTTCTGCCTGATCTTCATCTGACTTTGGGACACCTTTAGCAGACCACTTTGCATGCCACATGTCCGAGTTCTCAATCTTCCTGAGGCGCCTGGCTTCCATCAATGTTTTCTGTGACTCCGGACTGAGGTCGCCCATGCGAGTTCCCTTTTTGAATTTTGGGTCTGCAAGCAGCTTCTGGCGCTTGGCTGATTCAGTCTGTGGCAAATCAGCTTCTGGCAAAGTGGGGACAGAGCAAACATCAGCCGCTGAAGCTGCAGCACCAATGGGATGACCAGTGTCAGGAGACACAGAATCAGCAACAGCTGGTGGGGCAGCATCACCATCACACGCTTGACCTCCAAGGAGATGTGCTCTTCGCTTTGGATCTGGAAGTTGGAACTCCACTGGGGTTGCAATTGGAATTGGATCCTGTTGAACTTGTGAATCCACTGGGGTTGAAGCATGGCCTTCCACACCAGGACCATCTTGTAGAACTTGGGAACCCAATCCAGGTCCATCAGATTGCCCTGCATAATCCTGGCTATCCTGGGCCTCCGGACATGGCCCCGTTTCCACTGGCTTTGCAAGAGCAAAACAAACTGAGTCAAGAATGCGAGACGACGAAAATGATGATGCCCCAGGTTCGTTGTGAATGGTTCTCAAACCAGTTTGCAACGCTGTCTTGTTCCACTCCACCTGCACCTCTTCATCAGAGGAAATGAGCTCGGACATTGGGAATAAAGGCACAGAACGATCAAAACAGTGAGCCAAATGACTGGAGCAAGGGCAACAAAAGTGTTTGGAATGTGATTCTTTGTGATTCTTGAGACTTTTGATATTAGATTGTGAGTGATTGTGACGCGCACACACTTCCGCTCGATGAATTTGAAACAGATTGACTGATGATTGGTTCCCTCTCAACTGTGTGATTGCTGACTCTGGGCTTGCCATGGTGGCAGTCATCTCCCGCTAGACGATTGACTTTGATGGCATGACAGCACGCCTTCATAGCTCTTCCTTTGATTGTGAGAATCTCTTTGCAGTGGCACCATAAACATTCTGACATATGACTCTGGAACATTGGCAAAAACAACAAATGCACAACTGTGCAGCTAGTAATTTGACTGATTTGATTCATTATGAATTACCATGTTTGAGTGTGAATTGCCACTGCAGCAACAAAACTTTGGCTGTGGCCACAAAAGCTTTCACCAGCCATCTTACACGATACGTTGGCAGCCTCCCTTCTCAAGGCGCAAATCCTTCACAAGATACCAGAGAGGCTTTGCTGCCGCAATGGCGGACTCTGAAGTGTAGCGTCTCAGGCGCCAAACCTCAGCTGACAACAACACGGCAACAGTTACTACAAAACTGAAAACTTGAAGGATGAACATGATAATAAACTGTCACGTCACTCCAAACCAACTGAAGGTGACTGCGGCAAACCAAGCAACACACTCCATAGCCGGTGACTCCTGGAGAAGCTTTGCAGCCACATAGGATGCCGCGTTGCTCGACTTCACACTCCGAAGCTGAATGGCATTTGGCCTCCAGCAGGTAGGAGAGTCAGGCTTCGGATTCACAGTGAACCTTGGCACATAATGCAAGCAGAATTAATATCATACTTACAATCTACTATGTTCAACGTTAATATACATCGAAAGCAGAATCGGAATCAAAGCAACATGGAATCAACAGTTATGACAATCAGAAAACTTCCTCCATCAAAGGCCCAAGCAACATGTCATCTTGAGCGCCTGAATAGACTCCAGCAGGTCTTTCAGCTGTGTGTCCTCCGAGCGTCCAATCCACCATTCCGTCACGCTCAGCCTTTTGCAAGCACCAACGCAGGGTGTTCACTGGCGTGTCAGAGCCATCTGTTTCCTGCTGCTTTGCAAGACAGAAACATGATCAGCAAGCAGCTGCCAGCACAGCAAACAGCAGTCCTCCAACACGCACTTTGCTTGGTCTGATGTGAAGCGGCAAATGTGCACCTTGTCGCCATTTTCCTGCAAACACCAAAATCCCAAATACACTCATTCCACTTTTTCAAAACTGGTCCTGGATAGCTTTGGTTGCTTTGGCGTCCAAAAGCCAAATTCCACCACCGTGGCCCAAAATCACTTGGGACCCCAGCAAGCTCCCAGCATTGGTTGGTGCAGCCACAAAGATCTGAGGCCCTTCAACAACATAGCAAACGAGACCATCACCTTCAGAAAGCGTAAAGCTAGCAGCAATTTTTGGGAACTTTTGCTCCAAAGCTGCAATGGTCTTGGGATCATCTGCGAAGATCGTGCCCCAACCAGCATCAGGAGACGGGGCTCCATTCTCGGCAGCTGGGGCCTGGATGGCCAGCTGGCCCTCGTGCGGAACAGGTGCTACTCCATGTTTGGCATCAAACCTGCGCAACAAGCACCTCCACTCTGGTGCATGCGATGGATCTGCAAGCCACTTCTGGCGAACATCCGTGGGCACAGACAGGACTTTCTCACCCCCCTCTCCAAGAATTTTGCACAACTGCAGAGTGGGCTCGGCTTCTCCATCATCAGCAGCGGCATCTGGCTGGGCCACAAACTTGACGCCGCCATACTCGGCCTTGCCATGTCCTGCTTTCCATTCCTCCAGGAGCATGTTGCGAACTGACTTTGTGGACAGCTTGATTGCATTCAGATCACAGGAAATCCCAAACGTTGGCACGCCAAGGTCAATGGCAGCTCGCTCCAGCGCACCATCATACAGCGTGCTGTGGAACAGGATTGCCTTCTTCCCACCTTGCAAATCAATTGCAATACAAAAGGGCAAACATCACTCAGACTCAAATTGTCAAAAGCAAAGCACTTATAATTTGAGATGAATTTGTATATGAATAAAACTATGAATATGCATATGAATACGAATCTGAATCTGAATCTGAATATGAATAAACTATCAATATGCATATGAATACGAATCTGAATCTGAATCTGAATATGAATTTGAGGACATTGAGTAGTATGAGTTTGAGACCCAAGTATCTGGGGCCACCAAGTCCAAGGGCATCAAGCATCTTCTTGGGCATGTCGATGCCTCCCAGCCATTGGGCAGTTTCCTGATAGTCCGTCCAATTGCGCCTTTGATCATTGGACTGAAGGCCTGCAGATGGGCAGACATAGTCACTCTCCGGAATAGCCTCTGGCAAACTCCCTTCAGGAAAAGCTTGCAACTTCCATGCTGTGGTGTTGACAAACCTCAGCCCACAATCAGTGGACACTAGAAGACCAGAATCAGTTTGATCCTGCAAGCACTTCAAACCCCAAAAATGGTACCACTTGGTTTCATGTTCAAAGCAAAAGAAGATATCCATATCACAAATAGTAATTTGCATTGCATCAATGCAAGAAGCAAAACACACATTCCCACTCAAGATTTAGATAACATCATTCACATCCTTCATAGACAATTTTGGCCTCTTGTTTACAAAGAAGATCAAAGAATGTTTGTATTGCACCTTAAGAATCTGAAGAAAGCCAAGTAACATGTTCACGTTGTCCTTGAGCACCCTGCTTGGTGAGTCCGAATCCTTGTGATTGGTGCGGCACATGCGGTATTGGACACCTTTTGTGGGTAACACATGGTCTAGCACTGCAATCCACGCTGTGTAGCAGGACGGCTGCTCTGCGTTCCCGTGCAGGCTTCCTACCGAGATGTTGAGATGAAACGGGCGTAGTTCGATGTGATGCTGAATCATCTTGTCCTCGATCTTCCTCCAATCTGTCCTGAGGCTTGACCCTGCCTGTGTGCCTGACAGCAGTGGTGCAATGATCACTCCCACTGATCCTGAGCTAGTTGTCCATAAGCAATAAAATCACACTTCAACAAACTGATTAAGGAGCAGCGTGCTTATATCATCAAATCATTTTGCAGCCAAGGCACTCAGCGGATTCCTGGACAATACGTTTTGCATCCATTGGGCGTGCTTGTTCACCTCGACCTGGTTGAAGACCCCAAGCTTCGTGTAGTCGGTCCATGCTACAAAGGCAACTTCATCCACACCCACCTCAACAAAGTTGACCCCAAGCCGACACAGTGATTTTAGAATTCAACTGTGGCGGTTTCATGCAGCTTGTAAATACAAGCCACCTGCGCATCTACCGCAACCCTTCTCAGAAACGCATCTGAAGGTGGAGGGTTGGTCACATCAGGAACTGAACCCATGAAGCACCTTTTCTCCAGGAACTTGTTGATAAGCCTGCGACTTGAATCCACAACCCACATGAATGAACATGATGTATCCCTTAATTCAAAAGCAACAGCAACAATGAAAGAACAGGATGTTAGTACATGACTCAGAAAAAACATCAGTGATAAATACAAGTAATGCGCAGTGCCAAAGATCACAAAAACAGCCAAAGGACTCATGGCCCTTGGTGTGCTGCTCTTTCAGGTGCTGCACTTCAATGACATGTCGCATTGATGCTCTCTTGGACTTTGCTGCAACGTGTTTGCTCCATTCAGTTTCATCTTTCCTGCAAGATCAAAATTCCAAAGCTGAACAGCTAATGCCTGCAGTGTACTAAACAATGAAGAGCTTTTCATTATATAACTGAGCAAAGGTTCGCAATTTTGCTCTTCACCATTGCAAACGCAGCTGCTTCAGCCTCAGCCTCATATTCCTCCACCGAGCGATCATCAGATGGGCCATGACCCTGTGTGACAGCCACGGTCTCCACCACCAAGTCATTCCAAACACAGAGGTTCTGAATCTTCCACTCACTTGAAGCAATGTTGATCGAAGCTTGGATTTCATCAAAGTAATCCCTTGCACAAAACGAAGGAACATGGTTGATTCTGACACGTTGTTGTTTCATCTTGCGTAGATTGTGATATTGAGTTTGAGATTGTGAGACTGAGATTCTGAAAGTGAGATTTTGATTCAAACCAAGCCTTCAAATATCAGAGAAATAATGCTGCCAAGGTGCAAGGCCAAGAACGCTTTGTCCAAGTTCTCAAGGCAATCAGCTTTCTTGGACCCCAACCGAGCCGCCTCTTGCTTCACTGCTCCGAACACGCAAGCGAAGTTGCAGTAAGCATCCCAGTCAGCAGGGGAAAGCCGCATGCGACCTTTCTGAGTAGCTCGAACCTTCCTGGTCTTCTCACTGAATTGGTGGATGACAAGCCGCATGAACGCTTCTTGCTTGTCAGAATCCACAGTCAAGACTTGTTTCCAGTTCTCTGTGGACCCCTTCAAGGAGGCACTCAAGAGCCAGCGAGGTCTGCGAAGGACATCTGACGAAAAGCATGATTCGTTCCATTTGTTCCGGTGAAGATGGCCACGCATAAGTTCCCGGGTGCCAGGAGAGGTACCAATCACCACGTTCAAAATCGATTGAATGCGGGCTTCATCAAGGGCCCATCGGGCAAGGAAACCTGGGCTTTCCTGGAATTCATCGATGACTTTACGAAGCCTGGCTTCGGCATTCAATTCTTTGCCATGAGCACCCTGAGCGGCCCGCAGCTCCATGATTTTGGAGAAGCGCAAGCTTTGTTGAAGGACGTTTGGGGGTTGCCTCTCGGCCCCCCGATGACTAAGAACCATGTTCATGTAGCTTGATTGCACCGAGTCCAAGTTCAACCGCACCTAAGCCACCAAGTGATCCTCAAGATAATACAAGTACAAAAAATAATAGAAGCCAGTTCAATCTTGACAAAACCATACAAAACCTCAATGATTTACCCAGAACCATGAACTTCATGATCAGTGATCAATGATCACTTGTGCTGGCAAGGCGCATGAACCGGCACCATCCATCCACGGTCAAGCACAGGAAACATTGGCTGGAGCTGATTCATGGTGTCTGCACTGTCCAGGTCCAAGTCAGCAGCTGCCAAAAGGTTGAAGAGGATGCACTGCACCTTGGTGAAGCCCTTCACAATCTTGAGCTGCAGTGATTCCAGTGTCAGTTTAGTTCCTGCCATGACGTGACTTCAAACTTGCTTTGTCATGAGCAGGACACGCAAAAAGATTCATGACTTTCATCCTTTGATCATGTGTGCCTGGAGCAACATCGACCTGGGAAGGCTTTGAAGCAAGACACACCCATCTCCCAACAAACTAACTGCTGCGACTGTGACATGTCTCGACCTCAGCCCCAAGCAGAAATGTCAATTGGTTCCCTGGAGAGTTCCACTCCAGAGAATACCATTCCTTCAAACACTCCAATCCAATCGTCCAACACTGGTAGTCCATCGTCAGGTGGATGTTGCCTCGATCAAAAAGTTCTGGGTTTGCTTGCCAATGGTTTTTCTGACAAGATGCATCAAGGCAATGATGGGAACTTTGATGACGTCTCCATCCATGGACGAATCAATGGCCTGACTGAAATCACAGCATGGTACATGGTTTAAGCTTGAAAGTGACAGGTTTTTAGCCAGGAGTACAAGCTGCACAGAATTTCTAATTAGAACAAGTAGCAATAGAGGAGACCTCTTTGAAGTTCACATGCACACCCATGGCAGCCCGCTTCTTGGCGTAGTCCTCGTACCATGTCTGAAGGCTGGTCGCATTCAGCGCATTGGTCTGGGAATTCTCGGAGCCAAGCTGGTCTACTATGAACTGACCTGGGTGCACCAATGCATCACTATACTTGATGTCGCCCTTGTACGAATTGATGCACCCCAGAATATCCTGCAACAAGTTTCCATCCCTCAAGCTCAGTCAACTGTGATCCCAAACTACACTAAATCATGACTTGACTTGAACAATGATGAGTAAGGCCCAGTAATGTTGAAATTGAAAACCTTAGCTAACTTGAAAACCTTAGCTTTACAAATTCAAAA